ACGAATCCGGCATTCCAAGGGTCGATCAAAAGCGTCGCGCGCCGCGCGGTTGAGGAGGTCATCAGCGAGATGAGGGAGGAGATGTCGCGCGCGGTCGAGAAGGCCGTGTCCCAGGTCAGCATGCGGGCCGAGGAGCACGTCCAGTACGAGATCGAGTCCCTCACCAAGCGGGCTATGCTCATCAATACTGCGGCCTACTCTGGACTGGGCGGGCTTACGGTGATGTCGCACGAGCAGCGGCGTGCCTACAGCAGCTTTGCTCCAGTCATTGGCCTCGGGCATGGCCACCTTGCGACGATGAAGGGTGCCTTCTCCCATCTGGGGCATGACGCCATGGCGATGCTGAAGGGTCTCCCCACCTCAGAGCACGTACACGCTCCCGACCTCGCAGCCGACCTCGCAGAGACCCGGAAGGGTACCGCCCCCGTCGCCGTAGCGAAGTAATCTACGATTCAACGCACACGCCAGCCCACGTTTATCCCACACGTTCCAAATTCCATACATATATTCATTTTCGGTAGAGAAACTCGTTTATGTTGCATAATGCAATAACAAACCATCTTCACGCTCCCCTTCGAGGTGGTCGATTTGAATTGAGCCTCAGTCGATAAACCCCAATGCCTCTGCGCCGCATCAGCGGCAGTGTCGCGGCACTGCCTTGTGCCGCGTAACGCTGCCAGTGCTCGGCCCCCGGCGTTTTCGGCCTTGCCTCTAACCGTACCGCTCTTCTACCATTCTCCATATCTCATATCATCTTATCTCCGAAGTTTCGGTTGACGCTTTGTTGCTTATAATTAGACTGGCTGTACACTGGCATCGGCACGCCCACGGTCCAACACTTGACCCCAGACACATCAAAACTCCAGGTTCATCGGTAGAAGCTGGTGCACAGTTGCTTTTTCGTCTTCTACTAGTATTGTCCTTCTTACCAGCCACCTTTCGGGCGACACCGACTCGGAGCGCGCTACGACTGGGTGCCTAGGTCAACGCTGGCCGGATGGCGCGCAGGAGATCTCGACAGGCGGACGACACCGGTCGCACCGCTATCGCAGTCCCTGCGCTGAACAGCTTCCTCTGCACGACGCGCGGTCGTGGGACACTCACCAGCACAAGTAGAGTGTCGCGCAGCGCCAGTATAAGCTGGTCTTATGGGGACACTGGCAGCGCTCCCCGCGCGTGATCGATGTGCGCTCCGAAGAATTGCGGGGCCGAAAAGAAGGCTGGAATACATGCATTGTTAGAAACTTCAAACGGGGATTGCAGGCAAATTGGAGGGGCCACTATGCTGCCGCTGCTGCGTTATGTCCATTGACAAGATTGCTTTCATAGACAGGTTGGTTTCGAGCCTAACCTCGATCCATCCTGGGCCCTGTTAGCTACCGCTTTGACGGTGTAAACTGGGTCGTTGCCATGACTGCTTTCCGTTCGCCGATCAGCCGACCCGTCGGGGGTTCGATTCCCTCCCAAAGCTTCCCAGATCTCTGGTACTTTTTATCTTTTGCCCAAGACATGCAAGCTCCATCATGGGCGCTTTTATTCTTTTCGTGCCCGTGGACGGTTGAGGGAGCACATCTCTTCATGCTTGATAGGGATTTAAACACCACGAGATAGAGTACATTACATTATCTGTATCTGTAGAACGTGTATGTATCATGCTATTCAAGTTGGCAGAACATCAACCACCGTCCGCGTTTGATGCTGACTCACGGGGCAAAGCTGCGCGCCGCCATAATCAGCGCTACACCGTAGGTGGTCGTCGACGTTAAAATTCTGCGGCAGCCGCCCGAGCAACTCAGCCCACTTCGATATTCATGGAGTGCCGCTTTGATGTGGTAGTGGTCATACCCATACTCAGGAGCTGCTATAACGTGCCGGGGGTTTGATTCCCCCCTAACTATTCGTCTGTCATTATCCTCTTTCTTTTTTTGGACCGTCTCTCGCGATCGTCCTTTCAATCCTTCTCCTATCTGAGCCGTGTTAAACATCCCGGGTTGCGCTTTTATTCTAAATCTTCTCGTACGGGTGAACGGAGGCAGCTGGTTGGCGATCAGCGCAATATCACCCTTTTGATAAAATTATGCGCATCTGTCCGGCTGGCCATTATATTCCGCCATCAACTCTGCATGAGGGCTGCCAAGCCCGCTTGCATCAGTTTGAGTCCCTCAGCATATCCAATCCACGGCTTTGGTAGGGTATGGGTATAAGTCGTTGCTATAAAATGCTCCGCTGTCAGTCGACCCGCCGGGGGTTCGATTCCCCCCCCAAGCATACCTGTTCGTCAGTTTGACTTCTTTTTGACCGTCTCTCGCCTCCCATTCCTCGTTTTTTTATGTCCTGCTCTTGCTGCGGTGTGCACAGTCCATACCAGTCTTTTATTATCATTAATTCTATCATACATACAGCAAACACATTGGACCGCATTCGATGCCCCGACTCGACTCGATCGGGACCTAGATCAGCCCCACGGCGTCGGCGTCGGCGTGGGCGCCCTTGGTCTGCCGGCGCGCCGCGGCCTCCTGCTTGATCTGGCGCGACAGCAGGCCGAGGCCAATCCCATACAGCCCCCACGTGGTCTGCGCAAAGAAAGCACGGGTGAGTCCACGCGCTTCAAAGCGGGAGGGAGGGAGGGAGGGGGGCACGCACGATAACGATGCCGAGCCAGAAGTGTTCGCGGTCACGTGAGCGGACAGATGCAGACGGAAACTTTATCCGTTACAGTTGGCGATCAGCGCAATATCACCCTTTTGATACTCCACAGCATCTTTTTACTTTCTCTGCCATCATGCCTCCGTTCAATTGCTTAAAGTGTGAGTGCTACAGATGTTCTCCTGAAAACACCCCAAAACTTAATATTTTTAGTGCGAAATTCTAACCAGGCGTAAAAATCCGAATACTCATCATTTGTCCCTGCCTTCCCGGTGTTACCACTATTAGCGAGAGCAGTATCAAACCGCCATGCAGGAACTTCAGTCCCATTGGCAGGCAGTTGGCCCGGATGAGCGTGGATAGAAACAGCACTCTGTCAGTTGGTCCCGCGTCCCATAAGGGTCCGAAGTACTGTAGTGAATTTAATGGAAGATCATCGGTACCTTGTTGTTGAATGGCAGCTGAAAGCGCGTTCAATTTGTGCCCGACTTGAAGTAGGATTGATCAGCCGAATAATGTGGCGTGAAAGCGTGTCACGAAAATATGTAGCACCGTATGAGGTTTCCAAGGAAGGCTGCCGGCGTGGTGCCTGGTATTCACATGAGACTATCGAAGTGTATAACTGACGTTCATCTGCCTTAAATCGTCACTGCATCTAGTTTTGTACCTCAGTACTATTAAATTTGCGTGGTATTTGTATTTGGCACAATAAAATGACCGGGCTCAAATTAAAATCCAGTACCTTGCGGAGACGCAAGTAAAGTCGGAAGGAACAGAATATCGGAGATATGGCGGCACAGTATGCGTGCCCGCCGCCTAGCTGCTCATGCTCGCAGTAACGAAGTTGTGGTCGTAAAAGTGTGTCCGAGCTGCACATCTCTACTCGATATCGATTCTCCATCTGCATGGATATGGGAGACGGGCCGCCGGCGGCTGATGAAGGCGACTCGGAGTCGTTGCGCGATGAGGCGATCCGCCCCGTTGAGGTCAAGTATGGAAAGTGATATGTGAACCACGCTCTTGCTTGCTAGGTTTCAGTGGTACGGCATGGCCATCGAGTTGCCGGGTAGTGGTATCTACTAGGTCGTCACTGTAAACAATTTGATTACAGTAGTACTGTTGGCCTATTGGGGTTCGACTCCCTCCAAGGCAATAACCAATCGTTCAATTTGTTTTCTTTTCCGCTATTTCTTTTTTTCTTCAAAATTCGAGAATTCAAGACTTCAAGTGTGCGCCGGCTGTAAATAATGATTTTGCTCAGGCACGAGTGATCTCTGCGGCCGCAGTGCAACGATCGATTTTCTTAGGAAGTGCGGCCGTGGACTTGTGAGTTATCATATGCAGATGGACTTACTCTAGCGGAAGCTTGCTTGCTGACTTGTAGCTGAGCTGGCGACGGCTGCCGCACTGCGGTATATTTCAGATTCCTTCAATCCCGTCCACGAAAGCATTATATTGATATCTGTGCTTATTATTGGGCTCTGTACTCATGGGCAGAGCCCCAGAGCTTGACGCTGCTTTGGTGTACTGGTTACTTGGGTTGCTCGGCTGAAAGTTTCATGCAGTTGCTCGACCCGCCGGGGGTTCGATTCCCTCCCAAGGCATCCTGCCAGGTCTATCAAGGTTTTTTTTGGGAGCACCTCTCCTTTTTTGGTCCCTCCCTTGCACGCTGCAGCTTTGGCACGCGTGTTCTGTGAACGGACAAGCACGTGGCAGTCAGAGCATACAATATGCAAGTAAGCGGCCACGCCTCTGAATCCCTGCAGGTCACTGCATGCATCCGAAAAAGCAGGGTGTGCCGCTTTGGTGAGCTAATGGTCGATTACTTTTCGGTTGTCCTGCGAGAGGTGTGTGGGCACTTTTATTCGAGCTCTTTTCGTGTGGGTGAACGACCGGAGACAGCACGTTGGTGGCAGTCAGAAATATAAAAGCTATGATCAACTGCCCTGTAAACCTTAGATTTAGGTGAGGGCTGCCACGCCTGCCTGCAGCACTTTGAGTCTCAGCATATCCAGGATTCACGGCTTTGGTAGGGTATGGGTATGGGTCGTTGCTATAAAATGCTCCCCTCTCATGATCAGTCGACCCGCCGAGGGTTCGATTCCCCCGCAAAGCACTACGCATAAATTGAACAACTCTAAGAGTACTCTTTTTTTTTTTGGGAGCATCTCTCGTTCTTTCGGTCACCCCCATGCGCGACGCAGCTTGAGTGTTTACTTATTCTGCGTCTTCGATGAATAGAGCAGCACGTGGCGGCTAGAGCGCGTAATATCCAAGTCACTGTAAGCGGCTGCGCCTCCTTGACGCCTCCCGCAGGTCGAGCACCTCACTGTGTCTGAAATGCCAGGTGTACTGCTTTGGTGGGGTAGTGGTAACCTGGGTCGGCCAATTATGTATTAAAGTTGGTTGGGCTTAATGCTCGACCCGTCGGGGGTTCGATTCCTCCCCAGAGCGTGAAGTCAGTGGGAATGGAAACATTTTTTGGCTGTATTTCGCCTCTCATCTCTCGTTTTCCTGTCTTTCTTTCCCTTGCCCGTGCAGTGACGTGCACGCCCCATGCCAGCTCATCGGTGAACCGAACGTCCAGCACGTGGCAGTCGGAGCATATAAGTAAGTGGCAGCCACGCCCTGAGTACTGCTTTGGTGGGGTAACGGTACCTGGGTTGCTGCCATTCGCGAATAGCCTGAGTGAAGATGGCTCGACCCGTCGGGGGTTCGATTCCTCCCCAGAGCGTTGATCAGTGGGTGAATATATTTTTTGGCTGTATTTCGCCCTTTGTCCTGTCTTTATTTCCCTTGCCCGACTGCCAGCTCATAATGTCCAGCACGTGGCAGTCGGAGAATATCCAAGTAAGTAAGTAACAGCCACGCCTCGAGTACCTCACTGCATCCGAAACACTGGAGTGTACTGCTTTGGTGGGGTAGTGGTTGCAATACACAAATCGTAGAAATTCTCGACCCGCCGGGGGTTCGTTCCACCCCAAACTTGAAGCATCGTTTGATCGTCGACTTGTTTTTTGATCGTCTCTCGCCTCTCAACTCTCGTTTTTCTTGTCCTTCCCTTGCCGCGATGTGCACACTCCATAACAGCTCAAGCGCATCCATTCTTTTACAAGTCTGACATACGTACACTATTACTTTGGTTCTATCATACATCAAGCAAACACATTGGTCCGCATTCGATGCCCTAGATCAGGCCCACGCCGTCGACGGACGCGTCGGTCTCGGCGTCGTGGGCGCCCTTGGTCTGCCGGCGCGCCGCGGTCTCCTGCTTGAGCTGGCGCGGCAGCAGGCCGAGGCCAAGGCCGTACAGCCCCCACATGGCCTGCGAGAGAAAACACGGGTGAGTCCACGCGTTTCAGGAGCGGGAGGGAGGGACGCACGATAACGATGCCGAGCCAGAAGTGGCGGCACCGCCAGTTGACGGGGTGCAGGTTGCCCGTGACGAGCGCCCACTCGGTCCACAGGCCGTAGTGTGTCTGTGTGGGTCCAGCGGTCAGTGCGCGTGTTTTTTTTTACGCAGGGACGGGGACGCACCTGCCACGACGCGAGGCCGACGATGGCGATGCCGAGGAGGGCGTGCAGGTAGTTCTGCGGGGGGCGGCCGCCGGGGAAGCGGCGGAAGGCGGGGAGCTTGACCCAGTGGATGAAGGCGCCGAGGGAGACCTGGAGGATGTACATTACGAGCAGCGCCAGCCCGGCTTTCTGGATGCGGTGCCAATCGGTGAGCGAAACGGATCTGGGGGCAAGGGAAAGGAGCGGCGCGCACCTGGTGCGGGTCGGTGTAGTGCGGCATGCCGCTCAAGTCGGTCGCTTGGTGCCCGAGCGCGAAGGCAGCGAAGACGAGCGGCGCGGTGAAGAAAAAGTTGACGATTGCGTGCGGCCAGAACCAGCTGTGTGGGGGCGCCGCGGGTCAGTGCTGTTCGGCGGGGCGGAAAGGGAGGCGCGCAACTGTTTTGTGAATGTGCGGAGGTAGCGCGCGATGCACATGCCTATCGGGAGGGCGACGAGGAAGGCGAAGAAGGCGACGTGGGCGTGGATGCGCGCCTTGCTCTCGAGGGGCGACAGCCCGGGGGTGGTGGGGATGGTGGTGGACATAGTGGGTGGGTGGGTGGAGGTGCGGGGTGTGGAGACGACGCTCTGTTTATAAGGCCGTGTGCACTGATGCCGAGGCGTGTGAGCCGTCACCCAAGTGGGGTTAGCCCGGCCGCCGGATCGCCGGGAGTATATCTTCAAACTCTGGAAATATTCATAACAGGTGGAAAGGATCATAGAGTCGGCGCGGAGACGATTGCGCACACGGAAACATCTTCAACTTCCAGGAAACACTCGCCTCCGCTAAGAATAGTTTTCCACATTCCTAAAATACTCACCTCCGGCCATCTAAAATAGTACATGACACCGATGACGCCGATGACAAGTGTGCTTTACTTGCCATCCTTGGTGCCTGTTCGACCCGCCGGGGATCCTTCGCCATCCCGGACGATGGGCCGGCCGACCCGGGTGCCCACTGACGCGTGCACGCTCCACGCTGTTAATTACGCTACCCACTATCATACATCTAACATACAACGTCGGTTGTCCGCCCGACTCGATCATCTCCTACTAGTGGGTCAGCGCCATACCGTGCGTCGACGTCGACGTCGGTTTCCGCGTCATGCCATACATCTGGCCATATGCATTTTCAGCCCTCTTGTCCAGTCCCTTCTCATTTTTGACAAACAGCCACCATCCCGCAACGGACCGCACCGTATCATCCGCGCCGCTCGCGGACAGCGTGCAGTCGCCACTGGACGACACGTGCGTGCCAATGTTTCCCGCGACCATCGCACAATCGAAGAGCTCGCCGTTGTCGTCGACCAGGATGTCGACTTCGGCATAGCCAGGGGGAATCGCGCCGCGGTGAAGTCGATGGTAGGGGGTCTCATCTAAAACAAGGTCCCTCGGGTCCTCCCAGTCCCAGTCCACGTGTTTGTGAGGGCGCCCATAGGTTGCCCAGAACTCCGCCGCAGTGAGCGTCTCGGGGGCGATTACAGGTACAGCCGTCTGATCGCTGAATCAGTCGCGTCTATCGGTGTACCAGCATGCGCGCACCATGTTTAGCCTAGGTCCCATCCACTGTCCCTCCTTGTTGAATACGGCGAATGCGGTGACCCAGCCTGTGTAATAATCACCTCGGCCGCTGCCCCCAGGCTGATAGTGCGCGACGCGCTGCCAGAAATCGATGTTTTCTGCACTCGTGGGGTTGTCGAACGCGGCGATGAATCGGGTGATCACAGGGCGGAGGAGGTGGTACCACGCAGTGGTCTCCAGCCCGAACTCTTTGAGCTTTATGAGCCGACCCAGGATGTTGGCCCAGTCCGACCTCTCTCCTGCAAGGGTTACACGCGGAATGCCACAGCCAATAAGCATGCTTTTATACGTGAAGTACTGTTTGAGCGTCGCCATGAGCAGGACGGCGCCCACTGTGGTGTCATTAACGGTCGTCGTCGTGAAGCCGGGCGTCGCCCACGCACGCAGCGTCGGGTCAACAACATTCTTCTCGACAAGACCGGTCATCTGACGCGCCACATGGCCGAAGTCAACGGTATAGCGAGTTGCGGGGATAGAAGTGATGACAAGTTCTCGCTTCCCTTCGTGAGCGACAAAGTTTGCGCGCAGGAGTTCTGCGCGGCCATTGACGAAGAAGTTGAACTGGCATAAGATGGCTAACCACACGTCGTCGGGGCGAATCAACAGTGCACGGTCCTGCGTGTAGGCGTCCAGCAAGGTCGCAACAAAGCCATTTTGGTTTGGGACGATATTTGGGATCTTTGCTTCCATGTCCCGCTCGCTGACAGGGTTAAGTATAAGTACACAAAGGGAGGGTTCCTGCTATGCGTACGATCCGTCGGTACTGCTTCCCACAGGGAGAGAGAATTGCAAGATTTCGCCGGCTTTCGTGTGCTGGTCCGCACAGGGACAGGTGCACGAAGACCCCTCCGCCGTACAGATCACGTGCTTATGGTACAAAACCCCACTCTGACACATTTTACGTAAGTTTACGTTACATTTCAGCACGTCTCTTTCAGAGAGGGCAGTGAGTAGTTTTTAAATCTAATAGTAATACATAATTTCCCTCCATACAAATGATACCTTATCTTATGAGTAGTTTTTTAAATCTAATGCAAAATTTCCCATATAAATGATAGCTTAGTCTTTAAATCTAATTCAAAATGACCCTTCATACAAATGATACCTTACCCAAACCTTCTAACCCAAACTCTAAGCTCTAAGCTCTAACTCTAACATCTTATGAGTAGTTTTTTAAATCTAATGCAAAAATTTCTCATACAAATGATAGCTTAGTCTTTAAATCTAATACAAAATATCCCTTCATACAAATGATACCTTACCCAAACCTTCTAACCCAACTCTAACCTCAAACCTCTAACTCTAACCTCTAACCTGCTAACCCGACCTAACCGACAGTGGTACGCAGGCGTTGTGGTGACCAAAAGAAATACCACTAAAGGGAATTGAACTCAAGACTATAAAATGATGCAATCAATCCAAATATCTCATTTAACCACTAGACAAGCAGTCCGATAAAATGTGCTGGCAGCAATCAGTGTAGACATTAACACATCACCGCCAAAACGTGAGATATTGTGGTACAGAGGCACCACGTGATCTGTACAGCGGAGGGGTCTTTGTGCTCAAATCCCGCACAGGCGACAGCCAATGTTTCATCTGCGGTGTAGCCATCCCGACCTTTTGGGAAATTGGAACGACTTGGCAAGGTGTGGTGCGACTGGGAATGAGATAGGCATAGATGATAGTGGGTGTCTCGCTGGCACTGGCAGTCAGGACAGCGGTCACACATTGTGACATCTTCATCTCTGCGGCATGCCAGACTCGTCTGAGTTGTCGCTTGATGAGACAACTCCCTTGCTAGACGACTCGATACATGCTCTGGGTGCTCCGCCGCTGGATCGGGTTTCTGCCGTCAATGCAGCGGAAACCGACGGTACAGTGCATGATGTGGTCTTACGCGGCCAAAATCTGAGACGCAATCTCGGGCTTAGCAACACTTGGAGAGTCGTTCGACAACGTTCCACGCTCCAAGCGCCAACTAGGTGCGTGCGCGTTATTCTTCTGGCTGATCGCCGACTCGGAATTTGCGCAGGGTTACCCAGTGCCGTGTTTTTGGTGTTTAATCGCGTTATTGGCACTGGGTGAGCTTGCGTACCTACGCCTCAGAAGACGGCTTCCTGAGTCCTGTTTCACAGAATATATGCGACCCCCAGTGTGATTCTGCGCACTTCAGGAAGTGTCGGTGTCGCGCTCCTCATGTGGCTCCTGGGAGCGCTTGTCGCAGCCGCCGGGACCGCAGTATACGTAGAGCTCGGGACTGTATGATTTCTTCAAACTTGTTTGACTTGAACTGAGATGGTTCCAGGGACTTCCGAGGA